GTGCCCTGGAATATGGCTGCTGCAGCAGCCACTGCTGGACCTCTATACCTCTTGATATCCCAAGCAAGGATTAGGGCCCCCACCTGGGCCCTCACGCTTCTTCTTAGGCTTCGGATGATCAGGACCAAGATGGGCTCATTGAGCTAGACTCTGAATCAGAAGACGAAGAAGTTCGATCCTTTCTGGCTTCTGTTTGGGCGCTGCCTTTGCCGTAGCCCCCGCCAGTATTCCAGGAGCAAACCGGCGAGAACGTTTTATGGGACCCCGGCCAGGATCCAAATCTTCACCACCTGGCCTTCTAAGGGCCACGTTCTTGATAGGAACTATGCGTTGATCTCTTTTTCCACCAAGTAAATACTTGTCTGCGCTACGTCGTTCAGCTATGGAAGTAGCGATCCAGCCCACACCTTCGGCACGGCATGCAACGCGCCTGTCGGGAGAGAGACCCACGTCTCTTGTGGCAACGTGTTTGGGGCCGAACGGAGTATCAGAATCACATCTAGCGTCTGTAATACCCGAGTCACTTGCTTCACCGTCGCCAAGGGCGGCATCCGCAGGATCAACCTCTTCCGCCATTTCAGCATCTTCAGATTCAACTTCACATGGCTGGCTATCTTCTTCTGACTTATACCCGGCAGGCTTCCCTGCATGCCAAGCACGATTGAACTGCACTAGAGAATGAATAGGTGTCGATCTATTCCAGATAGCATTCATTTGTTCAACTTCTGTAGCTGTGGCAAGAAGGTAATTCTCTTCAGTCATCCGCTGATAATATGGCGCTCTGCTGGGATCCGTACATTTGCCCAGACCATCTCTATGTGACCAAACCCACGGTGTCCTTTTGAAATTCGGACTTCTCGAAGGGCGTCTCATGGGACAGCCGAGCCTGTGGTCGGCATGGCTGGGGCATGCACAGCATGCGCTTCGATACGTGTTTCGATCCTCGATGGTGGCCCTCTTGTGATCACGCATGATTACCTATTCTTGCATTTTAGTCTGTCCCTTCGTTCACCGAATGATAGTACCATCTCCGTTCCGTTTAACTTGGCGAAGAGAATACCAGTGTCGGAGTTGATGTTCAGTCCAATTTCTGTCTAGCCAGTATTGCACCGTTTCAGCAAGTACTTGCTGCCAAGCCAATCCAGGCTTGCCCCAACCCTTTAAACGCTGTAACTGGCCGTCTGAATGCTCTTCTTCGTGATGCGGATCGTCTTGAAGCGGATTTCTCCGCAGAAGTCCCATCCGTGGAGGAGCGCGCGCGCTTGGCGTCTTCCCTGGCGGGCCACTTGAAGCCCCCGCCTCGGGAGGGCGAGGACGCTGGGCACCGCTCGAACGAGCGCCACTGGAGCGGGCTCGCGCCCGAGCTGGCGAGAAACTGGGAGCTCGACCGCGACGGACCATGCAGTCATCATGTTCGTCCGCGTCGCCCATTGGCGAAAGACGTGGATCGTCGTGATATTGCCTTTTCTTTATAAAGGGCACACGACGTGGCGACTGCCTCGGATTGCTCGCAGACCGATCTGACGCAACAAAAGAGCACTGGAATTCTTCATTGTGCCCGAGCTCATATTGAATGCGTTCAGATAGGGCGTCTCGCGGGTTCTCCCGCAATGGATCATCATTGATCGATTCCACGTTTGTCGGATTACCAATCACCCGAGGATAGAGCACGGTATGAACTTTTTCGTCTGCTGCAGGAATGGTAGACTCAGAGTCCGCGGGTGCCCCTGCCATGCCGAAGTCATCTTCGACGGGCATGTGGGAGTTCTCGACGAACTCAATATCTGCAGGTTGCCCCGCGATGGGTATACCCAGCCACTCTGCCAAGTCGATGTCGCCGTGGTCAGTGAACACCTCTTCGAACAGCTCGTCGGCGTAATTCTCACGGTTCATGCTGGCACACATACCTGGCAGCCACGAAGTGGATAACTGTGGCTGAGCCGTTAGCAGGGTCGGCCAGAAGTGACTCCCAGTCGACGCACTGCATGTCGGAGTCCGTTTGAGCCAAATGCATTGACGGACCCCTGCCTCTTCCATCGCCTTGGGGGCATTCGCGTCGGAAATGCTGCGCACTGTGGCATATGTCGCACTCCATAGTTTTACCGTTGGCATCCTGTGGATTCCCTCGTCGTCCTTTACCTTTACCTGATGTATGCCTACGGTTCCTGCCAGCACCTAAAAACATTTCTGCATTCTGAGGCCCAGTGAGAGATGCTAGGAATGCTAGTATGCCTCTACCGTGTAGCCGCCGACGCTCACCTTTGCCTTTACTTCGACCCTTGCCTTTTCCTTTGAGTGTTCGCCGTACCATACGTCTTACCTTTCTGACTGGTGTCTTGATAAATCTCCGCCAACGACGCTTGTGTTTTTGATAGCCCACAAATAACCGCTGAGCTTGCTGCTCTCCAGTAAGGTAGGTAGGCATATCGGAGTAATCCAGCGCAGTAGTTTCATCATCAGAAGACGCGTCGGAGTCGGTACCAGAGTCGAAGTCGGACTCGGCGGGTCGCCCCGCAGAGCCCATGAGGGTCATTGTACAAGGGGGACCGCGTCGGGTGGTCCCCTAGAACTGGCCCAGGGGTCTTGAGATCCCGAGGCCGTACCGCCGTTCTGGGCCAAAAATGTAGTGGTCTCAGACGGCGGCATATCATCGCTCCAGACGTTGTTAGCAGGTCGCCCTGCATTGGCATCTGCATGGAAGGCCTCGGTTCGGTGACCGTGACTAAAAGTACCACCGATATTGCCAGGGATTCTCTCAGCTATGTGAGCATATGACCTCATACGTTCGTGGAGAGCGTTAAATTGTGGTTGGTCCCTCGGCATTTGGTGGTTCAGAGGCTGCAGGAGCTGCTGTGCCCGCGACGTCCCCACTCCCAGAACTCTGAGTAATATTACTGTTAATATATGGAAACCGGGGATGTTGAAGCCGGCGGCTTTTGCTTCGTAGCGGGCTATCTCGAAACGTGCTAACGACTGGTCGGTCCTTTCTCCCGCATGGACACGAAAGTCAATGAGAGCCGTACCAGAGTTGAGTTGGCGTTCCTCTTCTAGGTTCTCGAACTTCGTGTTTAAGAGGAACATAATGTAAGTGACGCCATCGGTGTGGCGGCCACCAATATTGACGCCAAAATTCATGATTGCTGGGGGAACTCTCATGGCCATGGTCCATGCGAGCCCTCCAAGTCCGCGCTGAAGTGCGGCGGCCTGCTGGGAGGGAGTCATGTTGCCTGTGGTCACGTTGACCCAGGCGCGCACCTCGCGAACAAACTCGCGAAATGGTACTTCACCGGTAGGGTCCCAATGGGGGCCGGTCGTCCTAGCGTCGTCTCCGCCCCGCATATGTCCCACCGCACATCCAAGAGCAACCCAGATGAGCCCAAAGATAGCAACCCCAATCCAATGGCCTCGTAGGTCGTAATCAGGTGTAGTCGAGGGAGACTCGTGTTTGTCGTCGTAAGTCTGCGAGTGGTCGGAGGCGGCAGTATATCGTATCGCATGTTTCCATGCATTATTTGTTCGAAAGAATTTCCAAGTGGAGTAGGTGGGTGGACTTCAGGAGTGTAATAACGCAGGGATGTAGCGTACGAGCGAAAGACCTCCGCTGCAGCAGAGGTGTCGCTGCAAGTTTCCTTACGGCACTGCGTATCGATGTAAACTCCTTCGCGCAATGCCACTGCACCCTGTTCCACCATAACTGTAGTCCACCAGATAGTGCCGTGGATGGTGAGGAGTAGAGCTAGAGCTGACCACCATAGGCCAGCTCCGCCACCAAGTTTGAAGGGGCCTGGGAGGCCCGCCAGCAGCTTCGCCTCAGGCGAAGCCAAACTCCAGCTCGGTTGTATCGTAGTAACGATAGTCCCACTGCAAGAGGGGAAGCCATGTCAAGTGAAAGGGGATGCCTTATAGTGTCGATAGCGATAGTGTGCCTTGCGATGAGGCACAGTCAAATTTAGGCGGCCGGCCGCTTGAACCAAGACGGCCGCGGGCGCATGCTCGCTTCCGCTCCTTACGTCCCTCAGCTCACTTTAGAGTCACCAAGACAGCGTCCAAGAGAATAACCAAACCACCGTTCAACAGTGGCTCAAGGGGCGCCTCGCGGGGCTCACTAAACCATCATTACACCAGAGAAAACCCGAATCAGTGGCTTTCTGACATTTGTCGCAGGTACCTCGCTAAGGTCTTCGAGGCTCCCAAGAGCGCCCCAGAGAGCCCCAAGAGGCGCCCAGTAGGCCCCAAGAGGCCTCCAAAAGGCTCCCAAGAGACCCCCAAGAGGTCCCGAGAGGCTCCCCGAGGCACCCACGACGCTCCAAGATCCCCCCGGGACCGCCAAGAGGCCCCCAAGACGTTCAAAGAAGACTCCAAAAGGCTTCCAAGAGACAGCCGAAGAGACAGCCATCGCCCTCATCCTCTTATTCCTCCTCCTCCTCCTCCACCTCCTCGTCCTCCCCCTCCTCCTCCTCCCCCTCCCCCCCCCTCCTCGTCCTCCTCGTCCTCCTCGTCCTCCTCGTCCTCCTCCTCCTCCTCCTCCTCCTCCTCCTCCTCCTCCTCCTCCTTCTCCTCCTCGCGTTCCTCCTTCTCCTCCTCCTCCTCCTCCTCGCCCTCCTCCTCCCGCTCCTCCTCCTCCTACGCGGTGCCTCGCTCGTCTGGGCCGTTTCCCTCTTCTTCCCCCTTCCTCTTCCTCTTCCCGCTCCTTCTCCGCATCATCCCACCTAGGGCAAGGCCATAGCAACTCGGCTGAGCATCGTCTCTGGATCGGCTGGTCAAAACAATTACTCGACGCGGAGATCCCCATATGTGTATTTGTTTGCCTGGACCTTTTCCGCTGCGAGCGCCCAGGTACGAGAGTATGGGCATGAGCGGGCCTGAGCAAGAGAGACCGAGAGCGGATGAGTCTGAGTGTCGGTGAGTCTGTGTGTGAGCGAATCTGAGTGTGAATGATTCTTTATGTATGAGTAAAACGTATCTGAATGTGAGCGGTCTGAGCAATATAATGTCGGAGCCGGTGTTGGGGCTGATGTCGGAGCTGGTGTCAGAGCAGGTGTCGGAGCTGGCGTTGGACTGGGCGTCGGACTGGGCGTCGCCGGAGTTGCCTCTGGTTGGCACAGATACACTGAAGACCTGTACGCACAAAAAGCATCGTTGAAACGCACGTCATTTACGTCCCGGAAACGTTGAATATGCATGTAGCAATTTGCCGTGTAGTCACCACTAGGCTCATATTTGTACGGGGTGTCGCGCAGATACCATGGTGACCCGTCTGCAGTCACCCAATCGCTTGCCGTGTCGGAATTCATCGCAATGCTCGTACATCCTGCACATCCGTCGGATGGCTTCGTGACGTCGACAATGAAGAAAGGGAGGCCAAGGCAGCCAGGCTGGAGGGTGGAACATTGCACCATGTCCCCAACGGTGTTGATTACAGTAACCATGTCTTCTCTGTTGCGGGGGGACCAAATCTTCCAACCATCGGGGCAGCTGTTGGTGTCGGATGACCTGGCAGCCTCATGGCCGTTCTCAACTCGAACCAGGCGTCCTGGTGAGTACTCCCCGTTCAAGACGTACTCACTGACGGCGCAGCCGGATGGGCTACCAGGCCGACACATGAGCACACTTGTCGTCTGGCTCTGCAGCTCGTTAGCCATAGTCTGTCGCCATCCGTACATGGCCGCGCTGTTATTCTGAGCCGTCAGGGCGGTCGCGGTGGGCATGCAGCAGACCGAGAGCGCCAGGCACACAGCGCGGGGTGCCTTCCAGGTTGCAGCCATCCCACGAAGTCGAGCCACAGGAGACGAGTCTTGCAGTGGAAGACAATAAAGAGTCGAGTGTGGTATGCGGTACGGTGGCCTGTGCCAAAAAGGTCTTGAGCCCAAATGGATACGGAACCAGCCTATAGACTGTTTCTGTTTGGGGCTGAATGGATGCATTGTGTTTTGGTGGACCCCACATCCCGAGCTCCCAGGCCGCGAGGGGTCCCGGGATCCCCAGACCTCCGCAGTCGCGTTGTCTTCATGTGGTCAAATTAGGCCCTCGAACTCAGCCGGATGTGGCGGATGTGCAAGTGTGGCGCTCTACTCGCCGCTCGAGGACTTCCTGGGTCGCCTGGCTTCCAGCATCGCGCCCCGCGATGGGCGACGCAAGGTGGCCTTCGCGCCCCCGCGCCGCCCCCCTGGAAAAGGGCGGCTCGCAGGTCAAGGCCGCGACGCGCGAAGCCCGATTATCTTCGCGCCCCCAAGCCCCGCGATGCGGCACGCGCGGTCATCTTCGCGCCCTCGCGCCGCCTCCCTGGAGCTGGAGAAGGGCAGCCCTTCGGCCCAGGCCGCGACGCGCGAAGCGCGAGGATCCTCGATCCCTCTGGGGGAACACAAAGATTCTGATACCGCTGCTCCCCAGACCTCTCCAGGGGTGCGTTCTGCCCAGTGGTTCGACAGGCATCCAAGTCGCCCCTGGCCCACCTTCCAAGCGGCGGGCTCCGGGGGAGGCGCAACGCGGGAGGGGGCCAGGAGGACGAGGGGGGGACCCCGTCGGGCCCCCCTGCTCGGACGATGGAGGTCGGGAGGGGGTGAAGGGGGGGGCGAAAGGGGTGCGGGGGGGCGAGGACGAGGAGGGGGGCGGCGGGGGGGGCCGAGGAGGACGAGGAGGGTGGGCGAGAGGACGAGGGAAAGGAGGAGGAGAGGAAGAGGAGGAGAGGGAGGAAGAGAGAGGTGGACGAGGAGGCGCGATCCTTAGACAACAGCATGATCGACCCACGAACCCGGAAAGGAATATAGAAATGCGAGGCATGGCAACGTTTCAAAGACATTTGATTGGGCGACGGGCAAACGCAGTGCTGAATGTACAGATCTTGATGTACTGTGCCGAGGGCTGTGCTGTCCTGGCCGTGCTGAACTGCGATGTGCCATGCCGCGACTGTGCTCTATATAGCGTTGTGGATCGGGTCCTCCCTGGCATCCGAGTCCTGACCGAACTGATCTGGATCTTAAGCTCGAGCTGACTGAGCAGATGGTAGCTGCCCCAGAACTAATCGACAGGGGGGACATGCCAGGAGGACGCGCCGCGGAACGCCCCAAGGGACGCGCCGGGCGGCGTGCCAGGGGACGTGCCATGTGCGCGCACCGCGGGACGTGCCAAGGGGGCGCGCTGCGGAACGTGCCAATGGACGTGCCGCGGGACGTGCCAGGGGGCGCGCCGCGCGACGTGCCAGGTGGACTCGCCAAGGAACGCGCCAAAGAACGTGCCAGGATGCAATGTTGAATGTATCGATCTTGATGTACCGTGCCGACGGCTGCGCTGTGCTGGCCGTGCTGAACTGCGATGTGACATGCCGCGATTGTGATCTATATAGCGTTGTGGATCGAGTCCTCTTTGCATCCGAGTCCTGACCGAACTGATCTGGATCTTAAGCTCGAGCTGACTGAGCAGATGGTCGCTGCCCCAGAACTAATCGACAGGGGGACATGCCAGGAGGACGCGCCGCGGAACGTCCCAAGGGACGCGCCAGGCGAAGTGCCAGGAGACGTGCCATGGGCACGCACCGCGGGACGTGCCAAGGGGACGCGCTACGGAACGTGCCAATGGACGTGCACCGCGCGACGTGCCAGGGGGACTCGCCACGGGACGCTCCGCGGAACGTGCCAGGCAACATGCCAAGCTGCAAAGCTCAAGGTATCGATATTGATGTACAGTGGCGAGGGCTGTGCTGTGCCTGGGCGACCTGGACACGTGAAAACACGCGTTTCGCTCAAGGCGGTCTCAGCGCATCCTCACGCTAGACATCCGCCTGGGCAACCTGGACACGTGCAAACAAGCGTCTGGATCGAAGCTTCTTCGACGCATCCTCATGCTAGACATCCGCCTGGGCGACCTGGACACGTGAAAACAAGCCTCTGGTTCGAGGAATCCTAAACAAATCCTCATGCTAGACATCTGTCTGGGCAACCTGGAGGCGTGGAACCAAGCATCTCGCTCGAGACATCCTCAAGACCTGGGCACGTGAAAACAAGCATTTCACTTGAGAGATCCTCTGAATTCAGGTCTCCAGGAGAGGACAATCTATAACACAAAACAAGTGTTTCGCTTGAGGTATCCTCAACAAATTCTGAAAAACAAGCGTTTCGCTAGGGACATCCTCAAATTTTGATTCGCCAGCGCTCTTCCCACTCGTTATTTATCGCAAAAGAAATCAGCCCGCCCTCTTCCCGTCAAAACCGGGGGGAACTTCTAAAAGAGAGCCCTGGGCCTGAAGCCCTTTCCGGGAAAAACAGACCCGCGCCGCTCCGGGAACGACGACGACGACGACGACGACGACGACTTCGACACCTTCGACAAGGACGACGACGAGGACGACGAGAACGACGAGGACGACGAGGACGACGAGGACGACGAGGACGACGGCGACGACGGCGACGGCGACGGCGACGGTGACGGCGAAGGCGACGGCGATGGCGACGGCGACGGCGACGGCGACGGCGACGGCGACGGCGACGGCGACGGCGACGGCGACGGCGACGGCGACGACGACGGCGACGACGACGACGACGACGATGCTGATCAAGGATGGGCTGATGGGGACGCACGAGGCTTTCGGCATAGAGCAGGGCGAGCAGGAAGTTCCAGAGATCCGGGTACGCAAATCTGCGGCCACAAGACGAACGATCGAAATAACAAATCAAAACTCCTGGCAATGGGCATTCAAACCGTCTGCGACGCCTGACCGATTCCTTTTTCAGATTCGAGCGCACAGAAGCGAGGGCTCGAGCCGGCCTCTTCCAGTTGAAACGCTCGCGGCCCCAAAGAGAGGATGGGGAGGAGGGGAAGAGGATGCGAGCAAAAGCGGGCCCGCAGTCCCCGTAGGGATAGCCTACCCAACCGACGGAACCGCCGATGACAGTGGCCGCTGATGGGACCAGCGCTCGAAAATATTCCGCTGGCCCGGGGCGCCCACCGGCTGTCAGAACGCAGGCTGGCGATACGAAGTGGCCCACCTACAGCGCGCGCGTTTTCCAGAGGGCGCCGATGAAGGACCCCACGATTTGGCCAGACTCCGAAGGAAGCCACAGAGCGCTGGACAGCCGTGGAACCCAGTTGCTGTCTTAGACAGCCCCACTATGATCCCAGGAGGGCCTAAGGAGGGCACAAGTTCGCTCACGAGACTTCCGAAGGCCGTCTCTTCCCCCTCATATGTATCCTCCTCCTCTTCTTCCTCCTCCTCCTCATTTCACTCCCTCTCCAACTTCCCCTCCTCCCTCTCATCATCATCCTTCTTCCCACCTCTCTCGTGTTTGCGGCTCCATCCTTCTTCCCTGGCTAAAGGCGTGCCCCAAGAGGGATTCTGCGGTGAGCAAGAGGACCCGGACTCTCCCGAGAAAGAACCGTGATGAAGCAACATTCCCGATTTGGTGTTCTCTTGATCAAACAACAACCCGCCCCCGAAATCCTGCCCCCGATTCCCTGACTGAACTCTGTCCCCATCTGGTGTCGTCGTCGTCGTCGTCGCCACCGTCGTCGTCGTCGTCGTCGCCGACGACGCCGCCGCAGCCGCCGCCGCCGCCGCCGCCGCCGCCGCCGTGGTCGCGCTGCTGCGGTCCTGCTGCAGCGCGTGCTCGCACTTCTGGATCGGTGCTCTGCGCCCGTCGAACAGAATCGCGCTCTCGCTCAAGCCCGGGCATCGTTTCTAGGTACGTCTCGTTCTCGGCGCTGACGCCTCCCTCCTTTCCCCTACTTCGCCTTCCTCGCGTCCTCGTGCTCATCCCGCTCATGCTCTTGCTGGTACTGGTCCTCCTTCCTCATCATCCAAGTCATCCTCCTCATCATCATCACCACCGTCCTCTCCACCCACACACACACACACACTCCCTCCCTCCCTCCCTCCCTCCCTCCCTCCCTCCCTCCCTACGCGACCAGGTCCATATCATCCTCTTCCTCCTTGTCCCCCTCCTCTTCCTCTTCCTGTTGTCCCCCCTCCCCCTCCTCTCCCGTATCTTCCCTCCTCCTCCTCCTAATCGTAATCTTGCTCCGTCTTCTCCCCCCTATCCTCCTTAAATCGCATAGCTTCCAAGACAAGTTTCCAGCTGTCTGAAAATCGTGGCATCAGAACGCGCACGATTACATAAAGGACGTGGGTGCATCTGAGCCTCTGAAGGGTATCTCCTTTAGCCGTCTTTATTATCCGTCCTCATCTTCTTCAACGACAACGACGGATACTCAGGGAGAGATGGAGCAGGAGGAGGGTGTCGTCCTCCCTCGATGCCGTGTCACTGAAGTTTCTGAGACTGCCTGTAGGCGCTCACTCCGGCCCCTGCTTGCAAGAGCAAGCCGCGATCAGAGTCACGACGCGTCACCTCCATGTGTACGTACGAGCTGGCACTCCAAATTGTCACAGATCCCGTTGTGCTGAATCTGACAAAGTAGTTGGATCCTGGTTTTGATCCAACGGCAATGAGGTAAGCCTGACGAACTTGCACAGTCGCGAAGCAAGCCGCGGGAACAGCTACGAATCAGCAATGAGGGTTCTCCGAATCGAATGTAGGAAAGCTGCCGGGCGGAATAGCAGTATGCGAGGCCAGCATGACAGCGACATGGATAGTGGTGACAGCCACAGCTTCATTGCAAGCAGCAGCGGGAGACAAAATGAGATGCAAGGACACGAACGTCAGAAGCGGCGGCAACAACAGAAGGCTCCGACCGGCCATGACTGGAGGAGGTACGTTCCTGCTCCCCCTGGAGGAAGCCATCATACCCACCATACTTCAGGGCGCGCAAAACATGGATTGGCGATCAATGGATTCGGCGCGCGGTCCATCCCCAAAATGCAGCCGGTGCCGCCTCGCTCGGCGGCGGAGATCCGCGATTTCCCATGGAAACGGGACCCGTCGCTAATCCGCGCCCCCTTGATCCATGCTTGCGATCGCATGAATATTTCGAGGGGAGCGCCGAAG